TGCAAGGGGGCTTGCCAGCGCTTCGCCTCTGGGCCCGGCCGGTGGCCACCCGTGGGCGCCTCGCGTGGCGCTGGGCGGGGCTGCCGGGGGCCTCGCCCGGCGCACGCCCGTGGCCGCCTCGCAGTGCGCCCGCGGAGCTCGCCATCGCTCGGGCGTCCATGTTCCCTGTGTCTTTTGTCGGCTCCGTGCGTGGTTTTTTCGCCAAATGTGCACGGATGCTCCTCGATGGTCCTCGCTGGAGGAAGAATGCACACGTCCGAGCGATGCCAAGGCAGAGCTTCCACCGCCTAGCTTCTACCAGCCAGCCTGCGCCACGTGCCTGGCTGCCACCGCGCGCGTTCTCCGTTCAAAGAAGAGGATCGACTCCACTACAGTCGGGCCGCTGAAAGAAGGAACGCTAAATAAGGAACGAAGCCCCTTCTTGGCCCTGTAAGCGCCTCCGTGCCCCAGGAGGGCAAGAGGAACAGCACTGGAGGAACCTAAGGGACATCGAGCCCCTTCCGAACCCAAACTGTTCCTCATTTCAGCGTCTTGACTGTACCCTGCCCCCCCCACCCTGGGGTCGGCTGGCCCCCTGGGACACTGCACTCTACGTCGGACTCCATGTGCTTCTGCCTCATCGCTCATTTTCCATATGAACTCATACCATCCCAGCCGAACTGGGTGTCGACCCCCCGATGTCTGGCAAGTAATGCTATGCACGCACACTCGTTTATCTCGACAGACCATTGCATTACAACATAAACACATAACACCCCACAAATAATTCAAACACAAACCTTGCAACATTTCTGCCCGCGGATACTTGCTGACATCATACGAGAGTCATCCGGTTTTCGCAATCTCGTCGAGAACCCTCATCTCACCACGCGGTGCATCCGCGTTGACCTAGCACGCGCCCAGTGCACGAATCCGTGTCAAATAATGCCATGCAGGCCATACGCGCATGCCGCCACGCTCGAGCCTTCCGGCCCAAGAGGCCCTCAGGAGGCCCCAAGATGCCCCACAGAGGCCCCGAAAAAACTCCAAAACGGCACCCGAGAGACGTCTTCCAGGAGGGCACGAAGAGGCCCAAATAAGTGATTTTCCTTAGGTTTTTGACAGATTTTGGCATTTTCTCGGCATTCCGACGGCTCAAAAGGCTCCCAAGACGGCCCCAAGAGAGCCCCAAAACGGCCCAAGAGGCCTCCAAGACGCCCAAGATGGCCTCTGAGAGCCCCTGATATGCCCCAAGAGGGCCCCAAGACGACCCAGACAGACCCCCAAGACGGCTTCCGACGGCGTCAGACAAGCCAGAAACGCCCTAAGACGGCCAAAGAGGCCCCCAAGAAGCCCCCAAAGGCCCTCCCAAACCCTCCAAGAGGCCCCCGGGAAGCTCCCAGGAGGCCCCAAGAGTGCGCCAAGAGGCGCCCAAGAGTCAAGAGGCCTCCTCCTCCTCCTCCTCTTTTTTCCTCATCCTCCCCCTCCTCCTCTTCTTGTGCCCCCATGCGTTCCCCGAAGTCTTTCCAAACCGACTCGGGGAACAACTTGCCCGATAGCTTGGCCAAGCTCTGGCCCAGCTGTCGGCCACAGAGGCGCTTCCAAAGGGGCAAGGGGCGGCGGTGATTCGCCGTAGGCGTCTTCGATCCGCCGCCCCCTGCTGATTCATCACAGGGGTGCATGGCGTGCTGAATCTTCTCGGTTTTGGTTTTGGTCCTTTTCCAAAAAGACTCCACCTGGGGCTTCGGCCTGTCCCGCCGAGGTCCCGGAAGGATTGGGGTCTTCCAGAGCCGGTTGCAAAGGGTTTTCCTGCCCCTGACGGCTCAAAGATGGCCCAAGATGGCCTCCAAGATGCTTCCACGATGCCCAAGAACGGCCCAAGAGAGTCCAGGATGCCTCCAAGTTCGCACAATACACACCGAAGACGGGCCAAGACAGCCCCAAAGGCCTCCAAGAGGCCTCCAAGACGGCCCCAGAGGCCTCGAAGAGGTCCTCCAGGGTCCTCAAAGACGGCCTGGAGATGTCAAAATCATTGATTTTCCATTGGTTTTTGAAACATTTTGGCTTTTGCTCCTTTTCGGATTCCGACGGCCCAAGGCCCTAAAGGCCATCGAGATCGCCCCAAGAGTGCCCAGGAAGCCTCCAAGACGGCCCCAGGACGGCCCAAGAGGCCCCCAAGAGGGCCCCAGGGAGGCCCCAAGACGGCCCAAGAGGCCTCCAAGAAGCCCAGATGGCCTCCAAGACTGCCAAGATGGTCTCCAAGATGCCCCCAAGACGGCCAAGAGGGTCTCCAACACGACCAAGATGGCCCCAAGATGCATCTAAGACGGCCCAACATGGCCTCACGATGGCCTAAGACTGCCCAAAAGGCCCGCAAGAGGCCTCCAAGACGGCCCAAGAGCCCTCCAAAACGTCCGCCAGGAAGGCCCGAAAGAGCCAACATCATTGATTTTAAGATGGTTTTTGAAGGATTTTGGCATTTTCTTCTGTTCAGCTCTCCCACGGCCCAAGACGGCCCAAGAGACCCCCAACATCGTCCCAAGAGCGCCCAAGAGGCCTCCAAGATGGCCCCATGACAGCCCAAGAGGCCCCCAAGAGGGCCCCAAGAAGGCCCCAAGACGGCCCAAGAGGCCCCCCAAGAAGCCCCAGATGGCCTCCACGACTGCCAAGATGGTCTCCAAGATGCCCCCAAGACGGCCAAGATGGCCTCCAAGACGACTAAGATGGCCCGAAGATGCATCCAAGACGGCCCAAGTTGGCCTCAAGATGGCCTAAGACTGCCCAAAAGGCCCGCAAGAGGCCTCCAAGACGGCCCAAGAGCCCTCCAAGACGTCCTCCAGGAATGCCCGAAAGAGCCAACATGATTGATTTTCATATGGCTTTTCAAGGATTTTGGCATTTTCTTCTGTTCAGCTCTCCCACGGTCCAAGACGGCCCAAGAGACCCCCAACATCGTCCCACGAGCGCCCAAGAGGCCTCCAAGATGGCCCCATGACAGCCCAAGAGGCCCCCAAGAGGCCCCAAGAAGGCCCCAAGACGGCCCAAGAGGCCCGCAAGAGGGCCCCAAGAAGGCCCCAAGACGGCCCAAGAGGCCCCCAAGACGCCCAAGAAAACCTCCAAGACGGCGTAGATGGCCTTCACTCTGCCTCCAAGACGCCCAAAATGGCCGTCAAGACGGCTAAGATGGCCCGAAGATGCATCCAAGACGGCCCACTATTGCCTCAAGATGGCCTAAGACGGCCCTATAGGCCTGCAAGAGGCCTCCAAGAAATCAGGATGCGCCGCTCCTGGTGGATACAATCATTTTGATTTGTCGCACGAGAGGTAGGGGACGGCGCGCAGAGCTTGATAACGACATGGGCCTGACAGAGGGGACTGGGCCCACGGGGGGCGAAGGGCTGAAATGTCGAGGCGGGTGACGAGCGAAGGGACCTAAGGTGTGACTGGCGAAAGGGGCTGAGGGGTGAACAGGTCGAAGGGCAATGGGGTAAAAGGATTCAAGGCTGAAGAACGAATGGCGTGAGGGTTTGAAGGCTTGAGGAGGATTGTAAGGGTCAAGGGGGTGAAGGTTTGAGGGGCTCAAAGGTTGAAGGGTCGATGGGTTCAAGCGGTTGAGGGACTGACGGGTTCAGGGTTTGAATGTTTTAGGGTTCAAGGGTGAAGAACGAAGGGATGGATGGGTGAAGAATGAAGGGACCGATGGGCCAGAAGGCGTGGGGGTTGAAGGACTGACCTGACGGTTTGCTGGGCGAAGACGTTGACAGGTTGAGCGAGGGGCGAGTTACTCAAGAATCTGAGGGGCGGGTGCTGTTGCGAAGGGCCCTCCCGCACCAAGCAAAGGCCCACTGGCCTCCCCGAGAGGGGGCGGCACCCCGTGGGAGCTGCTGGCGAGGCCGTCGGTGGGCGCCGCCGCCTCTCTGGGAGAGACTTCAAGGTACCGATGCCGCTGCTCCCCGGACCTCTCCCGGGGGTGCGTTTTCTGACCAGGGTGTCGAGGAGGAGGAGGAGGAGGAGGAGGAGGAGGAGGAGGAGGAGGAGGAGGAGGAGGAGGAGGAGGAGGAGGAGGAGGAGGAAGCGGTGGCGACGAGGGCCTCCCAGGAGGCCGGAACAAGGGGAGAACGGGCGAAGGGGCAGCGGCATGGGTACCTTTTCCTCCTCTGACTCTCTGGCCGGGGCCCCAGGGGGGGGGGGAGGGCGGCCCGAGGGTAACATCTCCCCCCGGGGGGGAAGACCTGTGAAGGGGAACTGTGAAACACAAATAAATACACACAAATAAAAATATCCCCCATATTTTCCTATATTTTCTGGGTTTCTGTCTTCCCCACCACTTCCCATATTTTCCCATATTTTCCTGGGGGTCGAGGATTAATTGTGTCTGTGTGTTTCTTCCGAACCTGGTGCGCCGCGGCGCAGGCCCTCCGTCGCCCGCACGATCGGGAGCCGCGGAGCGCGAGCTGAACGGGCCAGCCGGGCCAGCCCTGGAGGGTAGGGCGCCTCTTCGGACGAGGACAGACAAAAGGGCCCAGGGACACAGAAATAAATAGGCACAACTCCCCGGATCCCTTATATTTCCTATATCTTCCTGGCTTTCGTCTTCCCCCCCCCCCCCCCCACTCTCTATATTTTCAAATATTTTCGGGGGAATCGAAGATTAATTGTGTCTGTGTGTGCGCGCGCGCGTGCGTGTGTGTGTGTGTGTGTGTGTGTGTGTGTGTGTGTTATCCCCCTCCCGAACTAAATCCATTCCAGAGCGTCCGGGAACGCTCTCGGCGCGTTATGGGGCGCTCTGGGAAGGCCGCGGCGCCCGAGACATCCTCCAGAGCCGCCAGATCTCAGAGATTATCGACTCATCCTCACCCGACTTTATCCTCGTCCTGGCTTCGCCTTACCTCTGGTCGGGGCGCGGCTGAGCGCGGAACCCGCGTCGGCCGTGCCATTGGTCGTGGCGTTCTCGGCCGCTGCCCCCAGCGTGATGTTGCCAGCCCCTTCAGACACGTTGGCCTCCGCGTCGGATGCGCTCTTCAGCATCTCAGCGAAACCGATGTCGGCGTCAGATGGCGAGCTGCCCGTAGTCCGAATTTCGCGCCGGGGCGACATCGGCGTCTGAGTTCCATGGCGTTCACTCTGCGAGCGTCTGCAATAGGGCGCGAGGCGCCTGGAGCGGTCAAGAACCGCGGGGAACGAGCGTCGACCGTGGGGAGCTCAGCCCCGAGACCACGGCCAACACTGGTGAACGACTGAACTGCCGCAGAGCCGCCAGGCGGGGCGGCATGCTGAGAGGGCCGCCCGTCATCCGTGAGCAGACTGCCCAGGTTTCCGATGGATGGGTTCTCCAACCCGCGGAGCCTCGGATGTCTAGGGGCCTCCCTGGGGTCGAAGTAGATGAGATCGGAGGATCGCACCGCATCGCCGACGCATCACCGATGTATCGGCCGTGCATCGGCGCCGTCGGCGCTGCATCGGCGGCGTCGGCATGGAGACGATGGGGCTCCACACCGAGCCGCATCGTCGATGCATCGGCGATGCGGCGCGATCCCCCGACCCCATCCCGGGAGTCCTAGACAGACGTCTCGACCTACTCCCCAACGACGCTCTGTTGCTGCGTCCTGTGTGCGCTCCTTTGGTGGCCTCGGGGGCCAGGAAGCGGCCTCCAGACATACGGTCGGACCTGGACCAGATGAAGATCCTTCAAGAACATGAGACCCTCCGCTGGCCAAAACACACAGAACATCCAAAGGTACCCGCACCCGGATGCAGCACACGAGCATCCAACAAGCGCGAAGAACAGCAGGGTACCCTCCCCGAGCCGACCACGATCTTATACCTCGGCCCGACTGCAGTCGTGAAGGGGCCCAAGGACACACAAATAAATACACACAAGTAAAATGGTTCCCTATATTTTCCCGTATTTTCTGGGTTTCTGTCTTCCCGCCCAATTCCCATACTTTCCAATCTTTCTTGGGGATCGACGATCGTGTCTGTATGTTTTTTTCCCTCCTGAAGTCAAAGCAACACGGGCCTTCTTCGAAGATGGCGCCATCTCTGGGGCAGAGCCCTCCTCCCCCTCCGCCAGGAAGCGGCTTCCGGAGGCCGAGGCCGCAGGGAGCCCTCCCCGAGCCGAAGAACAGCAGGGTACCCCCCCCGAGCCGACCACGATCTTATACCTCGGCCCGACTGCAGTCGAAGCAGCACCGGCCTTCTTCGAAGACGGCGCCACCCGGGGCGGAGCCCTCCCCCCCCCCCCTCCGCCAGGGAAGCGGCCTCCGGGGGCCGAGGCCGCGAAAGGAACCCGCGGGCACCGGCGGCAGAAGGCCCGGGGGGCCGCCACCGAGGGGGGCCTCGGCCCCCGAGCAGGTGTCGGGGCACGGAGCGCCCGCCCGCAGCACGCCCCGTGCGGGCGACGACGCGAAGCCGACAGTTCCGAGGGGAGCTGAAGCCAGAACTGATAGTGCGGGATGGCGATGAATTAAAAAATGGGAGAGAACGATTAAACACATAGTTTTCTGCTCTTTCTGCACAACTTTCTGACTGGAGGAGAACGATTCAAAGATAGTTTTCCAGCCCGCGGCCGGTTTTTTCTAATCGTCATCCCGGGCGCCGCCGCGTGAACACGACCCCCGGTCATTTATTAATCGTCATCCTCCATTAGCAGGGGTGCGCGATGGGGATGCAGGCCTTCTGCTGTTCCCACCGCACTCAAGGGCCGCATCCCAGCAAGAAAGTCGAGCACGCCCCGTGCGAGCGACGATGCGAAGCCGACAGTCCCAGGGGGAGCTCAAGCCAGAACTGATAGCAGGGGTGCGCGATGGGGATGCAGGCCTTCGGCTGTTCCCAACGCACTTGAGGGCCGCATCCCAGCAATACATTCGAGCAGCCCGACAAGTCTCGCATCAGTGTCTGCCCGACGCGCTGGCGAAGTGCCGAACGAGTATCGCCTCCCGGTGCCCGACACGTGAAAACATGGCAGTTTCGATACTTTCTTGGTGCTCGAAGACCCCTCTGGTGATCAAGGCGAAAGTAGGTTGGGACATCATCGTGCAAGCCCCTTGTGAGCCCATGTGGAAGCTTTTTCGAGCGCGGCGGGGCAACGAACGTAGTCAAGGATGGACCAAAGAGGCATGGATGCAAGGGTACGCTTTGAATGGTTCGTCCATCATTACCATCGGTCTCGACTGTATGCATTGGCGCAGCTCCGATGTTCTGACTTCGGTTCCAATGCAACAGCCCCCGATGATGAAAACTGCCAGCTTCCTAATTAATGGGATTCGAATGCAGAAGCAGCACCCTGATCATAAGCACCCCGACAAGCGAAGCCGTTTGGTAAACCCACCCAAGAAAGGAATCGAGCAAGGCAGGGCTGTTCAGTAAACGCCCAGGTCCGTTACGTACACGCCAATTATGGGGGTCGGGGTGTTTTTCCCTCCCTTGGGGGAAAGGGGGCTCCACCATGCTTTAACAAGCTGGAGAGAAGGATCAGAAACTGGCAACGTGGGCAGCGTGGTTGCCAGAAACGGTCTGGGAGGGGGAGGAGGTGGGGGAGTAGAGCCAGGAGGACGCCGACCACCGGCTGGGCTCCGATGAGGTAGATGAGGAGGAGAGCGAGGCTCCGATGTCCCGAGGTGCAGGTCTCGCTTCCACAGGGCGGCGCCGGCGGCGCCAAAGCACTCGAGACGAAGGCGATCTATAGAGGATGCGAAGAGCCCCCGTGGGGGCCCTGGGCGGCGAAGTGCTGCCCCCCCCTTGATGCGATGTCGTCCAAGATCACGACCAGAACTCTGGACCCCATTCCTCGAGGCGGATCGATCCGTGAGTGTTCAAGGGCCCGCCTCAGAAAACGCCCCTGAGGCCTCCTACAGCCCCTGGCCCCTGCCGCGGAGAGGCTTCCAGGGCCCCCCTGCAGAGATGCGTCTCCGCAAGCCCCCACAAGGGGCAGCCAACTGAAACGCCCAAACACCTCGGCCCTCAGACCTCGGTGCTGTACGCGGTGGGCACTGGTGCGTGGCAGCCCCGACCGCGGGGGTGAGGGGGGTGGGCTGGCGGCGACGAGGTCGCCGGCGCCGCGCGGGCCAGTCGGGGCCTGGCGTTGGCCTGAGGTACGTTGGTGCCGTTGCCACTGCTGGTCGCGCTCGAGTCCGACGGCTCGCCCGGCAGCGGAGCCGTCGTCGTCTTCGCCGTCGTGGCCTTTGACCTCGCCGCTGGTACCTGCCGACGTGGCGGGAATGTTCTGGCGGAGAATCTCTGGAACATTCTAGGTACAAGCGTCGTCCCCTCCCTGCTCGTTGTGTCTAACGTCCCCTTACCCTTCAGCACGTCTACGAAAATGTGGAGTTCCGAACGCACCAGACGACAAACCGCTCTCGTAACTGTTTCATGACTGAATTTGTCACTTTGGCCTCTCTTGGGTTGCCTGGGGCTGTCGTGGGGCCGTCTTCAATCGGCTAGAAACTGTTTCAGGCACAATTGGCGCCATCTCGGGCTTCTCCAGGCGCTCACTTGGGCCCTGTTGGAGCGACTCAAGCAGACCTGGGCCGTGTTGGGAACCTATGAGTTTTGTCGTGAGGCCATTTTGACTCTCCGTGGCCTTTCGAGCAACCTCCAGCTGGACAGATGATCATCCACACTTTATCCTTCCAAGAGACCATAAAGAACATGTGGAAGGACACAGCCCGCGGCACGGCACTGCACTCAGCACTGCACAGCACGGCACCGCCCAACGGGACCGAGGCACACAAATCGCAGATACTGACATATTGCGGCAATCTGGGGGCATTCGGGGGGCCCGCGTAGCCCTGTTGGCGCCGTCTTGGAGATACCTGGGAGAACCCTGGGCTCTCCGGGGACTGTTCTGGAGCCCTCCTGGGGCATCATTGGGCGCTTTAGAACCACGCTGGAGCCTCCCAATGCTTACCGCCCTGACATTCGCTTCCAATAATCGTGCACCTCAGGGTGCTGGGCATATCTGCTTCATTTTCGCAAAATCTGGGGCGCGCCGTCACGCTGGTAGGCGCTACGCATGCTCTGGTGCGCGTCGCACAAGCGATGCGAGCCTGCATGTTCGATGGAGGAAGCATTCCTCCGACAGTGTTGCGAACATCGCCAGGCACGAACATTCGAAGACGACCAGTACTAAGGCGTCATCCCTCCTCGTAGTCCTCGTTCCCCCCCTCCTCCTCCTCCTCCTCCTCCTCCTCCTCCTCTTCCTCCTCCTCCTCCCTCCTCCTCCTCCCTCCTCCTCCTCCTCCTCCTCCTCCTCCCCTTCCTCCCTCCTCCTCCTCCCTCCTCCTCCTCCTCCTCCTCCTCCTCCTCCTATCTTCCTCCTCCTCCTCGCCCTCGTCCTCCTCCTTCTCCTCCTTCTCCTCCTCCCTCCTCCATCATCTGTGAGCACGCATTGACTGCCATGCCACCGTTGCACCACCACCTCCCTCCTCCCTCCTCCCTCCTCCCGCCTCCCACCTCCCGCCTCCCTCCTCTCCTCTTTCGCCTTCTCCTCCTCCTCCTCCTCCTCCCTCCTTACATTTGACGTTCTCCTCGTGCTCGCTAAGTCCTGCACTAGTTCCGACGTCGCACTGAACTGGAGCGGGTCTTCAACTCAATCTCCTTCCTGCTGCGTTGCTGCGCGCTGCCAGGGTTTGCCACAGGTAGGGTCGTATGATCATGGGCGTATGCCAGCTAGAAAAACATTACACTGAGCGTGATGCCAACTGTCATAAGCGTTTTATGTTGAGCCAGCTTGGCAGGAGCGAAGCTGGGCTGGACACAGCGGAAGAGATGGAGATGGGATGGGATCAACAAGATGCCGAGGATACCGATGGGGGTAGAGACATGAGAAGGGGGGAGGAATAGAAACAGGAGGTAGGACGAAGACGAGGGAGAGGGACGAGGGGCGTGAGGGGCGACGAGAGGAGGGAACAGGGAACACGATGCAGGAGGCGACAAGGAAGCGTCGGATGGGGGTGGCCGCCTCCTCGGCTGCCGCTCCCGTCGTCTCCGCCTCGATGGCCGCCGCTTCCGTGGTCTCGGTCCCCACGTCCCACGCTGTCGTCGTCGCCTCTGTGCTGGATGAGAGGGCGGACGCGGGGAGGAGGCAGGAGGGAGGCTTGGCTACGCATGTCCCGAAGCTGTCGTTCTGAAGCTGGCGCGAGAGGCAACACTCTACAGCCCAGTGAGCTGAAGGCACCCAAGGGAGCTGATGGGCCACAACGGCAGAACTCAATACATAGAAGAAGAACAACCGGCATAAACATAGACTTTTGGCGCTCCGCGCGGATTTCTTGGATCTGCGCTGGACCCCCTTCCCTGGCGCGCGGGGCGGTGCCAGAGGCGCCCGGGGGGGGCTCGGCGCGGATCCAAGAAATCCGCGCGGAGCGCCACACATTTATGTTGATGCCGTTTTTTTAGTGCTCGATCAATACAGGCCGCAGCCGCAAGGCTTTCAGCCTGAGAAAGAGCGCCGGGAGGCGTGACAACGCGAGGGTGCCTTCCCACCAGCCGCGGCGCGGCCGAGCGCTCCACGGGCGTCCCGCTCGCGCCGCGCCCTGGCCTCTGGGGAAGCCCCGCTGCCTCTGGGGGCAGCCGGGAGCCTCTGGGACACGCCTGGGGGCGGGCCTTCTCAGCAGGCTCGGCAGGCCTCGGGCCCTCCGAGGAGATCTCCAAGCATCCCCCGGCGACCTCTCGGGAAGCGCGCGGGCTCCCGAGGAGCCCCGCCGCCTCCCGAGGAGGCAGGCCCGGAGGAGGAGGAGGAGGAGGAGGAGGAGGTGCCTCTGAGAGACCTCCGAGGTGGGGTCGGAGGATCGCTCCGAATCGCCGATGCATCGACGTGGGAGATGCATCGGCAACGTCGACGTGAAGCGAGTCGGGCTCCACGTCGAGCCGCATCGCCGATGCATCGGTGATGCGGCGCGATCCTCCTACCCCATCTACTCCGACCCCATCTAGACGGCCCAGAGGCACGCCCTGGGAAGCTTAAGGGAGCCTCCGGGGCACGCCTGGGGGCGCCGTGGGAGGCCTGGCAGCATCGGGGGAAGCCTCGGGGGCCCCATGGGAAGGCTTAATAATACTAATAATAAAAAGCGTATCAATGATACTAATACTAATGATGATACTACTCATGATAGAACTCATTATATCAATATTAACACAACAAAATAATGATACTAGCAGGGGTAGTAATAGTAATGCAAATACTACTATTACACCAACAACAACTACTACTACTACTGCTACTACTACTACTACTACTATTACTACTACTACGGCGACGGCTACGGCTACGGCTACAACTACGACTACGACTACGACTACGACTACGACGACGACGACTACTACTACTACTACTACTACTACTACGACTACGACTACGACTACGACTACGACTACGACTATGACTACGACTACGACTACGACTACGACTACGATAACGACTACGACTACGACTACAACTACAACTACAACAACAACAACTACTACTACTACTACGACTACTACTACTACTACTACCACCACTACGACTACTACTACTACTGCTACTACTAGTTCTACTATGACTACGATTTTTTGACATCCACTATCAAAGACCCGCAGAGCGGGCAAAGTGCATCAGAGAGATAATTGTTATAAAACTCCAATGCCGTCCAAATCAACTGTGACCCCATTCCGTTTCGGATGGAGACCTCTGCTGAGTTTGGACCAAAGATCTCTTCTGCGGGATTTGTGGGCGGACCAAAGCTTGTCAGCGTGACCTCTCGCAACCTGAGGGTGGGAGGGATTCGCTGGACAGGGGTCCCCCAAACCGCGAAGCTGTCCTCCACATGTGTAGAAGAAGCACAGCTGGCAGAAGGCCACAAAACTTCCATCGCTGCAGTCTACAATGATGCAGCGGTGACCCAAATCTCTTAGAGACTGAGGCGAAACCTTGAGCTGTTGAGTGCACCTCCCTGGCGGAGGCTTCGAGACAGAACGAGAGCACTTGAGGCACTCGTTGCATTGCCAGAATTTGCCAGCCCAACCCCAGGAATGACCAGGACCCTGAACCCTGGGAGGACCAGGAGCCAGAGGGCGCTCCCAAGAGACCCCGTCCAGGTTGGTCCTGGGCCAAAGGTCCAAGAGGTGGGCGGCAAGGTTGGCGACAGCCTTGGAAACTGAGACCAAAAACGACAGACTGTCCTTGAGGCTGTCTTCAAGAGGCTGGTGAAGGTTCGCTCCTGCCTTCGCCGCCTCATCAGCAAAGTTATTACCACGAATGTTGAAACGCTCTTCCCAGGGGAGGCTGGGATCTTCGGTGAGGTGCGCCTTTACTTTGGAGACACCCTCGAGTCTACCGTCAGCGTTAGCCAGGCACTGCATCACAAGACCACTATAAGGCCTGGCGGGCGAGAGCTGCTGAGCTAAAGGCAGGGCAAATTGGTCGACCACAGCCTTGCAATCAGAAAGAAATTCAGCCGTGTGTTCAAGCAAGCACGAGGCGGCAGCAGGAGCGACGAATTCAGCTGCCACGCTCGTCTGAGGATATACGTTACAAACCGTGCCGTACGTACGGGCGAGAATCTGACCTTGGTCATTTAGCCAGACCGCGCCCCATCCAGAGCGGGAGAGTTCACGCACGGGGTGTCTAAAGCACGATCCATCCAGGAAAACTTTGCCCCAAACCTCCCTTCGCCCCTCCGGGGGAAGAGGCAGACCAGCCTCCTCAAAAGCATCAGGAAAAAACTCATATACCACCGAATCCTGAGATTCCTGGGCCGACTGAGGGAGGGGAGCCTCAGAGGAAGGGTGAGTGAAGAGCCCAGTTTCACAAAGCACCTTAAAACCAGGGTTGACGCCTGCCTCAAGCTCCTGGCGGACGCGGCTCAACAACTGGGGCTCGATATATTCAGAACGCTCGGCCTCGCAAGAAGGGCAATACCAAAGGCGATGGATCAGCGTGTCGCCCTCGGCCTGACAGAGAGGGCACTTGTCTTCAACTTGGTATCCCAGGGCCTTGGCACGACTCAAAGGCCAGAAGCCCTGACAAGTGAGTGTTCTAATAATTCCCTTTTGCTTGGGAGTGTACTTCTTCGAATTCAAAGAGGTACACAGCACGTCGAAACAAAGCCTAGAACCCTGACCATATTTGTCTCCAGCCTCACATTCAAGAGCTTTGAAAATCGCAGATTTACAGAGTCGTTTGAGGAGGGCAGGATAGATGAGGAGGAGAGGGATTTCCACACCGCGGTCGTCGGTCAGGATGTATGGGGAACTCATGGTCCATCCCAGTCTTGCAATCGACAAGTACATGGCCCCCAAAGGCCCTTTGACAGATCTCCAGGTCCGAGGGGGATTGTTCCAAACGTTTTCCCAACCCACTCTGATCAGAGCCCAAGAAAGAGTATAATCTGTCATCCGCGTGCGCAGCAGCCATAGCTCTCTATGATAATGGATGAGAGGAGCGACTGACCCATACCAGGCAGGATCACCTTCAACCCGAGTGAGGATACATAGAGAGCGGCCGCCGCAGGATGGCTTCATCGTGGAAGCTGCTAGACGTCGTACTTGTAAAAGCTCGCCGTCAGACATGCCATGCACGTCCGCACCATATTGCAGTGCTGGAAGAGCACCTGCACAGAAAACCTTAGTTGCACGTCTGCCGATGACGCCTCGCTGACGGGCGAGCCTCCGCGTACGGCGCGTGGCAGACAGCAGGCGGGCCTTAGTCTTGGAGTTGCGTCCACGGACGCGCCTAGAAGCACCAGCAGTATGGTCATGACCGAGGTTGACAGCCGACACGAGGTGGGGGCCCACGAGATCTCCGAAGGCCTCCTGGAGCCTACTGGAAATAACCTTACTGCTGGTAACCATGCCAACTTTGTCAAGAGCAATGTGAGCCTTCATAGAGTGAGAGATCGCATGTTCGAGCTGGCTAGCCGCGCTGCGCATGTCAGCGACCAAAGGCTCAAGCTTGCCAACTCCATCGAGGCTGGTGTCGTCGATGTAAACATCGAGGGTGACCGAGGGGGGGAGCGAAAGGCTGTCGAAAGCCTCTAACCCGAAGACCCGAATGAGGGTCGTGGCCATAGAACACCCAGCGACCAAACCGGTGTCAGCGAAGACCCCAGGAGCGACGACACCACTGAGAACGAGGTACCTGCTCGAGCGATAAGCGGCGAGACAAACCCCGATCAGCGTCGGGTGAAAGCTGGGCCGATGACACCTCGCCTCAAGGACGTGCAGCGGGATCAGCTCGTAGAACTTCAAAAGATCCCAAAATATCGAAGCCGCATGCTGGCCAGCCGAGGTGCTGGCCTCAGCGCGAACACTCTGGCGCCACACAATGTCAGTGGCGGACCGATGCTTCCCCGCGGCCCAGTAGGGCCGATCATTCTGGCTTTCCCACTCCAGGGCCCAGGGGCGCCGAAGCTTTCCCCAAAGCCTGAAGGGAGACGAGAAAACCCCGATGGGTCGGAAGCCAGGGGCCTTCTTGGGGATCAGGGCCACGATGAAGGCCCTCAGTTGCTGGGGAAGCATCGCGCTGATTTCGATCACCTGCAGGAGGAGAGCGAAACACTCCAGGGCCTCGTCGGAGAGGTATTGATAATGGCGCATGTGAAAGCCGTCCAACGCGACGGCAGAACGACGAGAGTAGCTCCTGGATAAGGTTCGTATTTGATCTATGCTAGCAAGGGGAAGGGGATCCAAAACTTTAGTCACATGTCTGGGAGGGCAGGGGGACGCATTCCATAAGGTCCCAAATCGCTTGGATTCCGCTCTCAGGAGCTCCTGCGGGTCCGAGACAATATTCCCAAAGCGGCTGAGGGTGGACGTGGGGCGCCACGCAGCAGGGTCACGGGTGACTTGGTGGACTCGCCTGGCACCCTGATTTATCCCTTCGTTCAACCAAGCCGCCCAGTCTTTCCGAGACTGCTGCTTATACTTGTCATTACACTTAGCCAAAGCCTGAGAAATAGCCAGACGAGCATCATCAACGTGAGCAGGGTCAAGAACAGGACCGAGGGGGTCAGGACGGTCTGGAACTGGCCGAGCAGAGTCGAGATCGGAACCGAGGGGTTCAGGCCGGCCTGGAGCTGGTCCAGCACTAGAAACATCAGCTGCACAGGCTGCTTCCAGCCAAAGCGTGCCAATATCAGCAGCCACCTGAAACGTATCCGCAAACTCACCTTGGTGACGCTTGATGAAATCAGGTGGCTGCGCCAGAAGTCGAGCTCGTCGGTCGACCTCGCTGAGCAAGGAAGGGGAGTCCTCCAGAAACTCCATATACGAGGAAGCAAAAGCCTGGAATACCGAGGATAACCATCGCATACTGTGGAGCTCAGGGTAGCGGACCGACCCGCGATCACGACCCAGAACGGGCCGCCACCACGTTTCAGGTCACTTACCCCTCGACCCGCGGTATGGGAGTGTTATACCCATGATCGAGCAGAGTTCAAGCTCTGCTGTGTTGGCCCAACACTTGTAGGCCTTAGTCAGAAGAGAGTCGAGAACATCGGACTGGCCAGCGCGAGCACGCTGCAAAGCTTTCCCGAGGAGGGCCGAGCATTGCTCATACATGGGGGGGCACGGGCACGGACCGAACGGGGCCTCCACGGGGATCGGGGGAGGTTTCCGAAAGGCCAGCACGTGCAGATCGGCCAGACCGGCGTGAAAGGTGACCTGGGGCGGCGTGTGCGGATGGAAGGACGCATCGATCAAGGCAACCGAGCTAACAGCCTGAGATAAGCCTCCAGACAGCACAAAGTAGTCATAGAGACGCGGCCCACCAGCACCATGACACGTAGGGCTAGTGGTCGCAACAACTTGGCCGCGAAGATTTTGAGGAAATTCAGCCTGCTGGAGGCTGGACGGCTCCATGTTGAAGTCCCCACCCAAGATAAAAGGAAGCCCCGAGATAGCCATGTAGGAACCCACAGCTGATAATATTTCGAGGTTCGCGTCCGAGAGCCCTTCACAGTCACGCATGTAAAGGGATGAGACGAGGAGGGACTGGCCCCCTGGGGGGTGAACGACCGCTGCGAGAGCTCGGTGAGGCCACAAAAGTCCCCCGTCAGACGGAGAATGAATGCCTAGCCAAGACCTAGCAAGGATCGCCACACCACTAGAAAGGCCTCCTCGAGGGCCCACAGAGCCTGGGGCCCAGAGGGACTTGAAACCGTTAGAGAGACACCACGCTGAGGCCTTATCGACGGGGTCTCCAGCGAGGAGCCTATGCTCCTGGATTAATATAATATGTGCGCTGGTCGACGGAAGCCAGTCTTTCACGGAAGACCACGCATTTCCATTAACCGTGATGACCTTGAGATCAAAAAGTTCCTGAGGGGGGGGGGTCGGGGCCCCCTGGATGGACGTGTACTGAGACCGAAGAATTCCCCCCCTCACGCGCAAGCTTGCGAGGGGGGGGCGTCCTGTTGCTGAAGCTTGGCCACTCGGGCCTTGACTGAACTGAGAAGGGCGGACTCAGGAGGCTCAGAAGTAGAAGTCGGCGCAGGTCCCGAAGTCGACGCGGAAACCCCAGTGGACGCGGCAGCACCGGCTTCAGGACGAGGCGGGTCGCCTGCACCAGGGCCAGCTCCTCCAGCAGCAGCGGGAACGGCGGCAGCACCATCCTCTCCCTTCCGCTTCTTGTGTAGGCGGGCGCGGTGCTCGGCATGTTGCTCACGGATTGACTTGGCCTGCGACAAAGCCTGGGCGAAGAGCTCCTTGGACAAGGTTGATAGACCTTCAGCCAACTTCTTCTGACGACGGTCGAGCTCCTCCAGATCCTCCTTGGACAGCTCGAATTCATCTTCAGCGTCGAAGGAAAGGCAGGAGCCAAGGTCGATCTGGAAAGAGTCAAACTTGCCAGCGACCAAGTCCTCGATGTTGATCTTGGGCGCCTCTGGAGGCGGCGCCTCCTTACGGACCTCGGACGCCAGCCTGCCCACAAGCTCGCTGTAGGACTCCTCCTGACGGGTGAGCTGCTCTGAGATGGAAGAGATGTGTGAACGTTGCTTCTCCATCTCCTTCTCCCAACGATCGAGTTTGTCAAGCTCATATTGAAGTTTTTTGGCCAGACGGAGTCGCTCACGCTGACATTGGGCCACCCGCTGCTCCAGCGGCACGATTGGAGCAGGGCGGGCGGTGAGGTTGTTGAGCTGCTCCTTGTACTTGTCGGACGATGCCTGGTCTCCCGCGCGGCCCGTGAGGTCCACGAGGAGGGCGAGGTCCGTAGAAGAGAGACCAAGTTTTGCACCGCCCTGTCCGCCACCTTCGGCTGCCGCACCCGATGGTGGAGGAACTCCAGCGGTGACAAGTCCAGGACGCAGAGGGGGATGAGGACGATCAGCATCGAACAGACGAAGACCATTCCCATCTTGCCAAGCGCCTTGGGGCCCACGATAGGTGCCGACCGTGGGCGGCTGCCATTTCTTGCCGCAGTGCTTGCACCACCAGAAGGAGAGCACGTTGCGGTTGCACCCACAGGACTGGCAGCGCCAGGTGGCCGCAGGCTGTCTGCTGCCTGCACCGCCATTGCGCTGCGGCGCCATGCGAGAGCGGGAGTAACTGAGAGCTTGACGCGGCTACGACTACGACTACGACTACGACTACGACTACGACTACGACGACGACTACTACTACTACTACTACTATCACGACGACGACGACGACTACTACTACTACTACTACTACTACTACTACTACTACTACTACTACTACTACTACTACTACTACTACTACTACTACTACTACTACTACTACTACTACTACTACGACTACGGCTACGACTACGACTACGACTACGACTACTACTCCTACTCCTACTCCTACTCTCCTCCTACTACTATTACTACTACAGTACTACTAGTACTTCGTCAACTACTACTACTACTACTTCTACGACTACTACTACGACTATTACTATCACGACTACTACTACTACTGCTGCTGCTACTACTACTACTACTACGACTACTACTACTACGACTACTACTACTACTGCTACTGCTACTGCTACTGCTACTACTACTACTACTACTACTTACTACTACTACTACTGATACTACTACTACTACTACTACTACTACTGCTACTACTACTACTACTACTACTACTACTACTACTACTACTACTTACTACTACTACTACTACTACGACTACGACTACGACTGCGACTACGACTACGACTACGACTACGACTACGACTACGACTACGACTACGACTACGACTACGACTACGACTACGACTACGACTACGACTACGACTACGACTACGACTACGACTACGACTACTACTACTACTACTACTACTACTACTACTACTACTACTACTACTACTACTACTACTACTACTACTACTACTACTACTACTACTACTACTACTACTACTACTACTACTACTACTACTACTACTACTACGACTACGACTACGACTACGACTACGACTACGACTACGACTGCGCCTACTACAGATACTACTAATACTAATTCTAAAACTTAATCATAATAATAGAACTACGCGGCATAAGCATAAACTTTTGGCTCTCCGTGCGGGTTTCTTGGATCTGCGTGGGACCCCCCTCCCTGGCGCGCGGAGCGCGCCACGGGCGGCGCCTTGAGGCGCCGACCAGGGGGCCCAGCGCGCCTCTTGGGAAGCACGGGAGCCTCTAGGGAAGGCATGGGAGCCTCTGGTATCGGGATCGCACTGCTGCGCATCCTTTTGGGCCAGAGTCGGGCAGTGATGAATAGGAGAACGAACAATGACAAAAACATAAAAACTCGGAGGTCCGCGCGGATTTCTCGGATCGGCGCTGAAACCCCTCTATCGGCGCCTCTGGCGCCGCCCCTGGCGCGCTCCGCGCGCCCGGGAGGGGGGTCCAGCGCCGATCCGAAAAATCCGCGCGGACCTCCGAGTTTTTATGTTTATGTCATTGTTTTGTCCACCTAGAATCGGGCAATGATGAGGCACGCGATGTGTGAGATCGCCGGGAGGAGAACCGCGGACCACCCCCCTTTGCCGGGAGTGAGAAGGCGTGTGGGATGATGGGCTGCCCCCATCCCCCTTTCCACTTCCCCCGTCGTCCAGTGTGCAGTTTGAGGAAGAGGAGGAGGGGGGGGGACGGAGGGCACGAGCTGCTCAGCACATCTCCTGGACCCCTAGACTCTCCAATAGTACCGCGGTGCCCATGCAGGCGTGAAGGTTCAGCGTCTTGCCCAACCTCGCGAGACCGAGCGTCCCCCCTCCGAAGCAGGGACGGAGGAACCTTTCCTGGCTGGCGAGGGGGCTCGCCCCCCAAAAATGGTGGGAAGCTCCCGCCGGCTTGAGCTTTGGTGTTGCAACGGGTTAGCAGACCAGACCCGACACTCTCCAATCCCCCCAAACATCTCCCAAGGTGCCCAGGAAGGCCTCCAAGAGGTTTCCAGGAGAGCTTCCCGATGGTAGACATGGGCCCAGGCCGGCTCCGAGTGGCCACGGAGCCTCGCAGGAGTGACTCCGAGGTCAGAACATGCAGAACCACTCCAGCGATATTTAAATTATCGTGGCTTCCCGTCTGTTCGTCTCCGATGCGCTCCTGGTGCCTCAACGATGTTGGAATCAACCCTCCCTCCAGTCTCCCTCTTCATAGGCCACTGCAACGGTTCATTTCCACTGAGGGAACTGCCTCGTTGGAAGCCAACCAGAAACCCTGAAGCATGCAGCTCATTCTCCTCCGGATTCCAACCTCACGCATCAACCTGACTGTTGCGCCTTGACGATCCTGAATCGTGCCAGAGCGCTATTCATGGGACTTCAGCACCGCGAATCCACGTAACTGTTGACCCTCATAATCCAGAATCCTTCCAACATCCTTTCTGGTACGGTGCACGGCGCTAAGGCGAGAACCACATTTTGAAAAAGAGCCGCCCTCAATCCGTGAAGATCTTGCAATCTTCAAAACGAATGTGCGCGGCGCTAAGGCGAGAACCACATATTGAAAACGACCTGCCTTCAATCCGTGATGCTCTTACAATGTTTAAAACCGAATTTGTGCGGCGATGCAGCGAGAGCCACATTTTGAAAACGACCCGCCCTCAATCCAAACGAATGTGCGCGGCGCTAAGGCGAGAGCCACATTTCGAAACCCCACCGCCCTCAATCTGTGAAGCGCTTGCAAATGTCTCAAACGAATGTGCGCGGCAATGAGGGCGAGAGCCACATTTTGAAAGCGGCCCGCCCTCCGTCTATGAAGCTGTTGCCAATGTGTAAGCTTCTGGGTCATAAGTGGTGAGGAAGTCTCAGGCGAAACGCCCAGCCCGCCCTAAACACTGGCCTCGGGGTGCGACAGGGAGAATTTTTGAGAAGGGAGAAAAAGGAGGAGGCGGAGCCCCAAGAGGTACCCAGAAATCACCCCCGAGCAGGCCCGAAGGCTGGAAGCGAGCCTGTTTAGGACCCTGGAGCTCTCTCGGGGCAGCTCTTCTGGGCACTTTCTTGTTCCTCCTCCCCCCTTCCAGCGCGAGACGCGCCCGATGCCCCCCGTGATTGCCTCACGAAGCACGCCGCCAATGAAACATATGGAGCCAGCAACTCTTCCGCGCAAAAGGTCGCTCCCTCGGCGGCCCCCTGGGAGTCCAGAGCGGCCCTCCCTGGAGGCCGAAGCAGCGGAGAAGAACACCTCCTCGGGCGCGAATTGATACGGGGGCGACGACTCGGAGGGGGGGGGAGAAAGGTTTCCTTTTCGGGCCCTGAAGGCACCCTCTTCGGGCCCTAAAAGCGCCCTTCTGGGCCCTAAAGGGCCCCTCGACATCCCCCCTCGAAATCAAACGCAAGTTTTTCCCGCGACGTTGTGGCGCCCTAGGACCCCCAAATTTGAGCGTTGGCGCCATACTTGGCGACTGCAAGCAGAAAAATCTGACCCGTGGGCCGCGTTTCGCGCGTCAAGCAACATAACAAACTTACGTTTGATTCCGAGGACGCTTTTTTTGTTTCGCTGTTGTTCGCACCGCAGCGGTGCCATCGCGCAAGTCTGCGCCGGCAGTCGCAACGGCTCGGCGGTGGCAGACTCTCGCAGGGCGCCACCCCAAGCGTCTCTGAACTCGCAGCCATCGATGCTGGGCTGATGGTTCTCCGTGAGGCGACTGGGGACGGTTGTATATGGGCCCTGAAGGGCCTCTTGGCGACAGCCCTCGCTGCCCCCCCCCAGCCATTCATCGCCCCCCCCCCACTGCGCGGCCTCCGGCCTCCGCCTCGCGGCCCCCTACCCGGGACGTCCGGGGGCGCCTGGGCCTGCCCCGGGGCCGTCCGGCCTCTCGCGGCCTCCCTGCCACGGCGCGGCTCCCCGGAGAGGCCCGCCCCACGCCGGCATGGGCCGGACTGCAGCCGGACCCAGGCCAGCAGAGCGTCCCTCGGGAGCATGCGGCCGTCCGCCGGCCAGAGCACACAGAGCATGCAGGGGCAGCCTCCCCAGGATGCACAGGAGCATCCAACGACAAGCACAGCACGAAGGACATCCCAGGCCAGAATAGCATCCCCCGAGAACATTGGGACCCTCCGCCGGCCAACAAATGCAGAGCATGCAAGGGTACCCTCCCCTGGGTGCACAGAACACATCCAGCAACAGCGCGAAGAACATGAAGGTACCCTGCCCGAGCCGACCTCGACCTTATACATCGGTCCGGCTGTATGGGTCCGTGGGTCTGGCTCATGGGCGCGCGATCCACCAATCGGGGGGGGTGCAGCAGGCTCGTCTCGTGACGGCCCGGTCTTTGATCCCTGACACAGCGTGGATCGTTCAGCTCGGGCGAGCGGCGGTTTTTTGAGTGCCACATCGTTCCATATGACCGAATCAGGGCCACTGGCGGCGTTCAAGCTCGAACGCCCGCGGCGGGGTCGCCGCCGTGTCGACACGACACGAACCTGCCGTATCCCACGACTCATGAAGACAGTGCCGCCTCATTCGGCGACGGAGCGCACCGATTTTAAGAAGAAGAAAAAAAAGAAGAATAAGAAGAATGAGAAGAATAAGAAGAAGAAGAAAAAGAAAAATAATAATAATAATAAGAAGAAGAAGAAGAAGAAGAAGAAGAAGTGGGGCCCGTTGCCCATCCACGCGCCTTACTCCGTGCCTGCATGTCTTCGACAGTGGTTAAAACCTCTCCCTTCCCGAATCGATGTGACACTCCTTGGGCCCGTTGAGCGCATCCCGGAGGTTGAATATTGCCCCTAGACGAACGTCCGTCGTGTTTCTTTCGCGACGCGAGTGACGGCGTCGGGGCCTGCGTGGTGGCTGGCGCCAGTGTCGGGGCCGGCGTCGGCGGCGGTGCTGGCGTCGGGGCCCGCGTCGGCGGTCGCGTGGGTCTGGCAGGGGGGTATCGAGCGGGGTCGTGGCTGGTGGGCCTGGGCGAGAAAGCTGGCGGCGCGGAGATGGGGTGTGGGGGCCCTCCATCCCCTGCCCCTCCTTTTCCTCGCCCTTGTACATTCTGCAAACTTAAATCGACTGGGATTTTAACGTCTGTGTACGCTCCTGCTCGAAGGCCTGCCCTTCCGCCGAAGCCTCTCGGACGATCGCCCGAGATCGCCCGAGATCCTCCTCCTCCTCCTCCTCCTCCTCCTGCTCCTCGTCCTGCTCCTCCTCCTCCTCCTCCTCTTCCTCCTCGCCTCCTTTTGCAGGGCCTCTGGGGAATGGGGAACCCACCACGCCACGTCCGCCGAGGCCCCCCCCGCGATGACGCACTCCCCGATGTCGGCCGAGCTGCCAGTGAACGTACCGCTCGAGGACGTCGGTGCTGGTGCCGAGGACGGGACAAACTGCAGGCCAGACTTCTCGCACACGGACTGGCGGGAGTGGGAGGGGGAGGGGGAGGGTGGGGGAAGAGGAGGCGGAAGATGAGGTTGCGGAGGAGGATGACAATGATGAGCTCCTCCCCCCGCCCCTCCTCCTCCTCCTCCTCCTCCTCCTCCTCCTCCTCCTCCTCCTCATCACCATCTCCACCCTTCCTTCTCATCCGCAATTATCCTCCTCCATCCTGACTGGGCCCGCGACACCAACTGGCGAGAGCGTCGGCCTTGGCATTGTGCCAGCGACGCTGGGACCAGGGCGCCGTGCCAGATTCTTGGCACAGCTCCTCAGGAATTGTCTGACTCGAAGAGGGAGACGCTACGCTCTGCGGCGATTACAGACCAGTGCGCCTCAGGCACACTGGTCTGCAGTCGCGACTCTCCTCCTCCGCCGTGCAGTGCTCCAGGCTGGGTGCAAGTTGCTTGCGACTCTCCTCCTCCTCCGCCGTTCGAAAGACGCCGGCGCCGAGGGCCGCATCCGGGGCACACAGTCTGGCCTCAAGTCGCGCCACCGCCATGTTCCTCGCCAGGCGACGGCTGGAGGAGGCGTGGGCGAGCAGGAAAGCCGGCCCGCGCGTCTCGCTCCGGACTGGGCCAAGGCGTTTGATAGCGTCCTGCCGACGCCGCTGCTAAAAGCATTGCAGCGCTTCGGCGTCCCAAAGATAATGCTGACAATGATTCGAGCCATCTACACGGGCAGGAAGCTCGTGGTCCGCGAGGCTGGCGCAACGTCCGGGACCCGCGAGCAGCACGCGGGAGTTTGCCAAGGTCGTCCTCGCTCTCCTTTCCTCTTCGCCATGGTGATGGCCGTGCTGCTGCGCGACGCCAGGGACACGCTGAGGGACCGCATGGGAGACACGGAGGGGCTGGTGTACGCCGACGACGCCCTCATCGTGGCCGCGAGCGCGGAGCGTGCGCAGGCGCACATGGAAGCTGCAGCTGCCGCTGGCGCGAATTGCGGCCGCAAGCTCAACTGGGGCAAGCTCGCATTGCTGTCACGAAGGCGATGGGGCGCGTGACGAACCCAGACGGCTCGAGAAGGACTCCATGGTATATCTTGGGAGTGCATTCGCGGCCGACGGATCCGAGGCGTCTGAGCTGAGCAGGGGACTCGGTTGCGCCAGGTCGGGGTTCGGCCCCCTGGCCCGACTCTCGTCGCATACGCCTTCAGGGAGCAACGTGAGCTTCGCATCTTCGATGCCTGCGTGCAGACAAGGCTGTTATACGGCTTGCCGGCGGCGTTGCTGCGGAAGCACGCGTCAGCTAACATCGGCAGCTTCCACGCAAAGTGCTTCAGGCAGATCTTGAGGATACCGCGCGCGTGCATCCATCACATTTCGAACGCTGTAGCTCGGGACATGGCCCGCCGCCCGCCCTCGAGTCGAGCCTTGCTGCACCAGCAACAGCTTTTTGCGCAGATCGCCCGGCACTTTGACGATCATTTGGTGCGGCGCGTGGTCTTCCAGCGGACCTGCCTTCGGACCTGCGCCCGCCGGCTGGCGGACGCCCCCGGGACAGGCCGAAGCAGTCTCGATCAGTGCGCCCGACGTTCGACACTTCGCGCCAATCCCAGCAACAGCCTGGTAAGCCGCTGTCGGGCACTACTGCCCATGGTGTTGCAATGCTGCCCGTGTGCTTCGACACCCGGCTTGCACGCATGCGTTCCCATTCTGCTCCTCTCCTCCTCACACTCGTCCTCCTCCTCCATACTCCCTCCGCGTCGCCCTCCTTCGTCTTCTTCTCGCTCCTCCTCTTTCTCTGGCTAAGGGTCCGCGAATTGGACTCTGGGCACCAGGGCAGGGAGCTGCCCTTAAAGATCATTCGGGAGGAGAAGGAGGCGGGTGAGGAGTAGGAGGATGAGAAAGAGCTCGTGCAGTTTACCACAATGTATTGGGACGTGGAGACAACTCCATGGTGGGGTCAGGAATTCAGGTGGGTCAGCTCTCTTACAGGCTCAGTGTCACATGCTTGGCCAAGGCATGAATCCCACCAGTCAGCAACCCACTTGGATTAGGTGGTTTAGCGCGCTTGCTCTTCGAGTCTCCCTCTTCCCCTTCGCGGATGGGAGAACCATTGCTTCTCATAGTCCACACCCCCTCCCCCATTCGTCGGCCAGTGACGAGGACCAGTGAACCCCGCCCACCAGCCCTGTCAGAAAACAACGGTGGGAGATATTTGCCCGATGTGCGCTCGCCCACTGCCCGTATCAAGGTTCATGCGACCTGTTTCTGGAGCGCAGACCACACACCAGGCTGGCAACCCCGCCACCACGTTGCGGGTGTAACGTTGCCCGACGTGTGCTGTCGTGTGGACTATCGCATCTGTCACCGCCTAGCGTGCGCTGCGCGCGTCGCGAACATGGTGCGGCGAGAGCGGGCGCGCGTGGCGCATCCGGCACACCAAGCGCGCTCGGGCCTCTGGGTGACATGGCGCACCTGGCGCGAACGTCGAGTACCTTGCATTTCTGTTGATTTCCGATGGCTGCTCATCAGATGGGAGCCTATGCTTATGCTGAATCTCAGGCGCTGCTTATACGGCGGGAGGGTGTGGGAGACAGCCTGTGGCGTTCCTGTTGGAACATTTCCACTGCTCTAAATTCATATGCACCCCTCCCCCACTCTACCGGTCCATAACCCGGGCCAATGCCTCCCCCACCCTCCCCACCATCCCTTCCGAAAAGCTACACAACGTGCACTTTGGATCATATCTGGGCGCCCCACGACCACTCTACATGCTTTTGACAGGCTCGAGGAGGTGTTAGCATATTACAGAATGCTTGCAATCCCACCATCCCTGTCAACTACCAAAGAAAAGCCCAAACAACGGCAAAGGTCAGACAATACAAGACAAGGCAGCGCCTTGGAGAGGTCGGAAGGCAATCCCGCCAAACCCTGGCAACGTGAACAACCTTGCGCCATCGAATTTCTGGCCTGCTTCTCCTTCACTCTTTGAAGAAGCGCGGCTGTTCTCTGCTCATACTGTGGGGCTAGCTGGTCGTCCGAAACACCTCGGGGGACCGACGTCACACTCTGGACCTCACGGGGACCTGAGAGTGTCGCTTCAAATCGGGATATGGGTATGGTCTTGTCTAACAGCTCCCTCAACAGAAAATCTGGCCCTAATCCTTGACGGAAATCACTCAACACTTCCCCTACTTTCCTGGTCGGCTTCTCGCACTTACGAGCAAGCTTGACGATCTTCCCCTGCGACCAGCCACCACAGTTGAGGCATAGAAACTGTTGCTCTTTGACTTCAATACATCCAGAGCCCCCAGCAGACCCCGAGGATGCACACCTGGCTAGAGCAAGAGCCGAGCGTGAAGCAACGACGAGAGCGTGGCCCTTGGGATCAGCGAACAACAAGGCAATAGCTTGGGGAGTCCTTTGACATCCATCCGCTGGCCTTGACTTCGAATCGGAAGTGATGGGATAATTCACACATTGCATACCTAACTCGGTCTAATAGAAGCAGAAATAAAGAGGCGGGCCGAGGAGTAGGTATTCGGCTCAGAAAAAAATCATTTCTAGGTATTCCTGGGCGTGGCAAGGTTGAGAGCAGGGCCATGTGCACCGTAGCGTTTGCATGTGTGCGTGTGTGCTTGTGGCAGGGATCGTGGTCGTCACGGCTGTGTGCACCGTAGTATTGTTTACGAAGGCGTCGTGGCCGCGTGGCAGGGGTCGGTGCACGGCCTTGTGCACCGTAGTGTGTCTTTAACCATCGATCGTGGCCGTGTGACGGAGGTAACAGCACGGCTGTGTACACCGTAGTGCTTTATTACCAGGGATCGCGGCAATGTGACAAGGGTGAGGGCACGGCCGTGTGTCGTGGTTAACGTTCTCCAATGGTTCGCAGCCGTGCGACAGGGGTCAGACCACAACCATGTGCACTGTAGCGTTGATATTCTGAAACAAAAGATCGTGGCTGCCCGGGAAAAGCATATCGGCATTGGGGCGATAACACGATGCCTCAATACATTGTTGACGCTTCGCGTATCCCCACCAGCCCATCCAGAAACGATGCTCAGGGGAGTTGAGGTGATCAGGGAAGTCGGGGAGCATGCAGAATAACAAAGGGCGGGGGAAGCTGTCACAGACCCCGAGAGGGGGAGGATGGAAGAGGAGTCGTCGTCGTCGTCGTCGTCGTCGGAGGAGGAGGAGGAGGAGGAGGGGGAAGAGGAGGAGGAGGAGGAGGAGGAGGAGGACGGAGAAGGAGGAAGAATCGGAGGAGGAGGAGGAGGAGGGGAAGGAGCTTCTTGGGGGTCTTTTGAGGGCCTCTTGGAGGGCTTTTTGGGCGCCTTGGGGCATCTTGGGCGCCTCTTGGGACCCTCTTGAGGCGCTCTGGGGAGCCTTCGGGGCGCTTTTGGGGCCATCTTGGAGGGAGTCGATCAAACAAGAGGGGGGGTTTAATTAGCGTCCCCCCTCGGAAGCCCCTAAAATCGCCTCTTGGACCCCTCTTGGAACGCTCTTGGAGTGCTCTTGGGCGCTCTTGGGGCCGTCTTGGGGCTCTTTTGGGGCTCTCTTGGGGCCCTCTTGGGCCATCTTGGAGCCATCTCCAGGCCTCGGATGGCCATCGGAAGCGAAAAGGCGAGAAAGCAAAAATCATTGATTTTCCTTAGGTTTTGGGACGATTTTGGCCTCTTCGGGGCCTCCTTGGGGAGCTGTTTGGCCACTTGGAGTTATCTTGGGGCCGTCTTTGGGCTTCTTGGAACCATCTTAGGAGCCATCGTGAGCGATCTTGCGCTATCTTGAGCCATCTTGGAGCTCATCTTGGGTTCTCTGAGGCGCTCTTGGAGCCGTCTTGGGCCATCTTGGACGCTCTAACTACCCGCGGCCCCCCCCGTCCAGGTCCAGGGGAGGGGGTAGGGGGAGGGGTAAACCCCTCCCCAAGGGGGAAGAGGGAGGGGTGGAAGAGGATCTGCTCTAGACCACCTACGCCCAGAGGGCTGGTGGGACTGCAAAGAATTCTGAAGCGAAGCGACTGCCTCACCGGCTGTCGGACAAAGCGTCCTCGGGCTCTCCGTCCCCGCTGTGGAGCTCTTCTGTGGTCCTTTGTTAGGGGCCACCTCCTCTGTTGTCCTTTTTTGATGTATATATATGGATTTCGGCGGCGAGCGAGGGGAAAGTGAGAAGGAGAAGGTCTTCTCAGAAGGCGGCGTGACTTCTCAGAAGCCCTCGTGCCTTCTGAGAAGTGTTCGGTGTCTTCGGGGAAGGCTTAGGACAACTTATCAGAGGGCGGCGGGACTTCCGAGCCTTCTGAGAAGGCCCGCCCCTTCTCATTTCCCCCCGGGCTCGCCGCCGAGAATGAAGACTATCTAGCGACTCGCTATTATGGAAGCGCCACTCGAACGTGCACATTGGAAACTGCGCGGGCGCCCCACGATTACTTCGCCTTCTTGTTTGGAAGGGGCGATGGGGGTGCCCTGGCACGCGCGGCGCACCTCGTCGGCGTCGCGCACCTGGCTAGCGCCTGCATTGATTCCAGATGGTTGTCGATGGCGGACCCTGCCCGTGCTGAGACTCGGGGTGCTTACGTGGTGGGAGGGCGGGTGGAATTGAGCGAGCCCTGGGTCTGGACAGGGTGGGGGGCTCGAGGGACTCGAGCGCCCAAGAGTCTAAGAAGGCTCAAGATGGACCTATATAGCCCAACATGGTTTCCAAAGCTGGAGCAGTATAGCTGTATCTGTATCAAAAACGGCCAGTCCTGAGACGGCTCCAAACGGTCATAGAGCCTCCGAAGGATGCCCACCAAAAGGCCAACATCAAGTACCTGATGCTTTCCAACGTGTTTTGACGTTTCGCCTTTTCGCCTCCGATGGGCGCCTGGGGCCTCAAGATGGCTCCAAGATCGCCCAAGAGAGCCCCACTTGCCGTCGCTCGGACGTCCATTTCCTGTACATTTTTCGGTTTCGTGCATGTTTTTTTTGCTCGATGGTCCAGGATGTTCCTCGATGGTTCTCGCCTAGAAAAAATGCACACGTCCGAGCGATGCCAAGCCCAAGAGGAGCCCATCGAGGCTCCCAGACGGCCGAGCGCCGAAGAGTGCCCCACGAGGGCTCCAATAGACGATGTTTCGGGCCCTGGCGGGGCGAGGCTCATCAGTGACGCCTCCTTTCCGAATCGATTTCCTCCAAGATTGCCCCAAGGGCCCCCCGCGAGGCTCTGGGCCCAAGGCAACCTCATATGCCACCCAAGTGGCCTCAACAACGCTCAAATATGATCCCAAGAAAATGTCAAGAAACTCTCCCAGATCGAATGATCTGCGACGGTCTTGGTGGTTGAAACCTGGGTCTGCTCAGGCTGATCCTGGCCCTCGATTTGATGGCTGACCCCCTCTTTGTTCCCCTGCACGCTTCCGCTTCCCTGATCGACGAAGCTCGCCTGGGGATCGTTCGCTGAGCGGCTGCGGATACTTTTTGGTCGGCGGCCGCTCGACAACGGCCTGGCGGCAACAGGCGATGTCCGGGACGGCGGCACAAAGCTAATTGCACACAGAGCGTGCGGTGCACGTGCACTGAGCAAAATGCTCCACATTCACAAGCAGTCGCACCTAGGCGCCGCCCAGTAAACCAAAGTGTACAAGCGGCCACGATTGCGAGTGCAACGGAGTGAGTCGCCCCTGCGGCGCCAAGCTCCGAGCAGCCGCCCACTGCTGGGGATACGCGAAGCGTCAACACATGGAGGTCCTGGGCTGGACATCAGCCGCTGGAATCCCCGAGCATTGCACACGCTGCGGAATAGGGCCGCCGTAAACCGTCCCTTCGACCGATTCGCCCGCTCTATCAGCGAGTCCCTGCACCGCTGCTGCCCCCCCTCCCCCTTTCCCTTTCCCCCTGGAGGGCCCTGTCGATGGTCGTGATGTTGTCCAAGGCCTTCCCGGTCTTCGCCCTTATCACGCCCTCGACGTCTCCGCTGGTGTCTCCGGCGTCGAGCTGGCCCCGGGCGCCCCCCCATCCACAGCCTGGCCTGCCTCGCCCTCCCCTTTTCCGCATCCGCCCTTCTGTTGCACATCTTCTTATTTATACCACTCTCGCGCGGAATGTATACGGTGGGGGCACTGGATAAGGAACCCCTTGCGTAAGGAATCCGAGGTCTGGAAGCCGATGGAACTCCGATCGCGGACCGGCCATGGCTACCACCACCGCCCTCACTGGGTGAGGCATCCTCCAGGGTCCGGCGCCTCCTGGGACTACAGTCAAAAACCCTAACAAGGACGCGCGGTAAGGACGCAAGACCCTTGGAAGCCGAAGTTGGGACTTTTGGGGCGGCGGACGACGAACACCTCGAGGACGCAATAGCAAGGAAGAGCAAGGACGCAAGGGTACCCTGAGCAAAATCGCGCGTCCACATTAGGGTTTTTGACTGTGCTCCTCCACAGACGCCTCCACCGTATGGGCTCGACTGCCGACACGCCACAGCGCACGCCATCTGCCAGTCGGCGCGCCGCACGCGTACCGCCAGAGCAAGCGGGCACGGAAGGGGCCCCTATCACCGGCGCCGTTGTCGGAGAAAGCCGCCATCACGTGGAGCGGAGCGGTTATCACCGAGGCGCCGCCGACTGCCTCACTCTCCCTGCCCCATTCGGACTCCCTGCACTCAGATTCGCTCAAAGTCAGACTCCCTCCTCACACGCAGATTCGCTCACACTCAGACTGACTCACACTCAGACTCACTCACACTCACCCTCACTCAACTCGGATTTACTCGCGCTCGCACTCGCTCATACTCAGAGACTCATTCGGACTCAGACTCACCCATACTCAGACTCACTCGCACTCAGACTCGCTCACACCCAGACTCACTCACACTGAGTCTCACTCACACTCAGTCTCACCCACACTCAGGCTTACTCATACTCAGACTCACTCACTCACACTCAGATGCACTTGCACTCAGACTCACTCGTACTCAGACTCATATTCAGACTCACTCGCCCTCAGTCGCACTACCAATCATATTCAGTTACTCAGACTCACTCATACTCAGACTCACTCATGTCCAGACTCACTCACACTCAGACTCAGTCATACTCAGACTTGGTCAGATTTGCGACGCACTCACGCTCAGACTCACAGAGTGCGAGGATGTCTCAGGCGAGGCGCTGCCTTTCGCTCCCCAATGGGGGAGCCGCCAGGGGGTATCTCACTCCCCCGTTCGCGCCCAGGTTGCGGGGTTGTCTCAGGCGGTTTGGCCCAGACTTCACTGCGATCAAAGGAGACTGCGAGGATATCTGAAGTGAGGCGCTGGTTCCAGCACCCCAAGGGAGTGCCGCCAGGTGGTATCTCACTCCATCGTTTGCGCCCAGATTGTGGGGATGTCTCGGGCGGTTTGCATGTTTGGTGGCCCAGACTCGCCTGATTTGAGGATGTCTCAAGCGAGGCGCTGGTTTTAGCACCTCAAGGGGAGCCGTCAGGGTTGTTTCCACGGGCTCGTTCGCGCCCAGATTGCGGGGATGTCTCAAATGGTTTGCCTGTTTTGGCCCCCAGGCTCCTTTGCTTTCAGAGCAGATTGTGAGAATGTCTCAGGCGAGGAGCTGGTTTCAGCACCCCAAGGGGGGAGCCCCAGCGAGCCCCATGAGCTACTAAGGCGCCCCAGGACGTTTTGGGAAGCTCCGGGAAGCCCCAGGAAGCTCCAGGACGTCCCAGGAAGCTCCAGGGAGCCCCCGGAGAGCTCTCAAGAAGCCTCAGAAAAGCGCCAGGACGCGCCAGGAAGCCGCAGGGAGCTCCCGGGACGCTCCTGGACACCCCGAGACTCTCCAGGGAGCCCCAGGAAGTTCCAGGGAGCCGCAGCGAGCTCCCAGGCAGCCCGGGGATCTCACAGGAAGCCCTCGCGCGAGCCCCCAGGAGCTCCCGGGAAGCTCCAGGACGCTCCGGGAAGCTCCAGGGCGTCCTCGGTCGCCCTGCCAGGGGAGGCAGCGCCGGGGAGCGCGCGGGAGCCTCCATGGATCCAAGCCCAGGTGGGCTCGATGCACCGGGCGGCTTGCTTGTTCGGTTGCCCCGGCTCCCCCTGCTTTCGGAGCAGACTTGTGAGGATGTCTCGGGCGAGGCGCTGCTTTCGGCACCCATGCTTCGCTTTCGGAGCAGACTGTGAGAATGTCTCCGGCGAGGCGCTGTTTTCAGCACCCTATCAGGCAGCCACCAGGGGAGTTTGCACGGAAGAGTGCGGAGGAGGAGGCGGAGGAGGAGGCGGGGAAGGAGGAGGAGGAGGAGGCGGAGGAGGAGGAGGAGGAGGAGGAGGAGGAGGAGGAGGAGAAGGAGGAGAGCAGGGGGAGGAGGAGGAGGAGGAGGAGGAGGAGGAGGAGGGAGGAGGGAGGAGGAGGAGCAGGAGGAGGGGGAGGAGGGGTTGGGAGGAAGAGGAAAAACGAGAACGGGGGGCGAGGAGGAGGAAGGAGGAAGAGGAGGTGGAGGAGCAAGAGGGATGATATCTGATGAGGATGGGGGATGATGATGTTGCTGCTGCTGCTGCTGATGATGATGATGATGCTGATGCTGCTGCTGATGATGCTGCTGATGATGGTGATGATGATGATGATGATGAGGATGAGGATGAGGAATGACGAGGGATGGGGAGAAGGAGAAGGCTTGGCAAGGGCGGTGCGTCCACCACTCCTGGCATTGGAGCTGGCATTCTGGGGATTGGTGCAGGCGGATACAGCCAGGCAAGGATTCACAGCCAGACACAAACAATGAGACGTGCCAGCAACGTGAGATGTAAATCTGGGGATATCCGCGCCGAGCACTGTTTTCTGCGTTGTTGAGACGCCTCGCTGAGTGAAATCCGCCGCCCCCCGTTGCGCGGTCCAGCTTCTCGTCATTAACGGCTCAATGCGCAATGACGCAATACTCACACTTGCAGTCTGTAACAGCTTGGAAATTCAGTTGCCATTCCTGTTGCTGATCGCGTTCGTCAGAAACCAATAGCTCACAATTGCCCGTTTTCCCAGTTCCGCAATTACCGAAAACCGAGCTGCGCAGTTTTGGGTGACTGAGGTTTTCAAGTATTGAGCGCGCTCGACGCCCCTGGGGCCAGAAACATACTTGCTACATCTCGTGCCTGTGTTTGAGAAGGCTTCCAGCTCGTGAGAAATCCATGAATCCACACTCCCGAGGCCACACTCTCGTTTAAAACCATGGAGAGAAACAATGGCTCCGCGCTCCCGCGGCCGCGAACCCTTGCACACAACTGTTGGTCCAGGCTCCCGAGGCCAAAATCACTTGCACACAACTAAGGGTCCGTGCTCCCAAGGCCACAACCCCTTGTAAAACATGTGACTTCGCGCTCCCGAGGTCACGATCTCTGGTAAAACATGTGGATCCGGGCTCCCGAGGTCACGATCCAGTGTAAAGAACTATAGGTCCATACTCTCGAGGCCTAGATCCCTAAAAACAATCTGTGTATCCGCGCTCCCGAGGCCACGATCCCTCGCAGAGAAACACGTGGGATCTGCGCGATGCAACCTCTTCCCTCCCTCCTCCCTCCCGCCCTCCCGCCCGCCCTCCCTCCGTAGCATTTCGCAGCAATGGGTTGAGATTGGGTCCGTGGAGCAAGCTCTATTTCAATGCTTTGCCAGCGGAATTCGGGGCGTACGCTCTGGATATCTGAAGAATCATTGAATCACCAAGCCTTGCTACTCTGATCGCAACATATTCCGCCCTCTGGTCTTCATCGTCCAATTCTCTATGGTGAAGCTAACAACGTCCGCTTGCACTCACCACACCTAGAAGGCTTCGGGCCCTGACTTGCCATGCCTTCCCTGACAATGAGGCTGGCCCCTGGGCTGCCCCATCGCAGAGTGTATGCTTGGGACCTCTGAGGCGTCATCGGGTGTTCCTTCCGCTCAGGACGCATGCGTACAAGATAACATCAGGCGGGCAGACACTGCTGCCCTCCTGGCAGACACCTGGAGAGGCGCAGCGCGGCACTACAGCCGGACGCGCCGACTTGCCTTCTTTGCTCGTGCACGAGTGCGCACGGCTGCTTGCTTACTCAAGTGGCCCGGCTGCGGGCGGTCGTCCTCGAGGGCACTTTACCCCGGTGGGGCCACGCGCCACAGGGAGTGCAGTGTACCGCTCCCGTTTCACTCTTCCCGTCGCTCCTCTCTCCTCATCCCCCTCTCCTTCCTCTCCCCTCCCCCTCGGGCTGGTTGCCTGCTCTCTCGGTGGGCTTGCGGCGCCGCTAGTGGGCGAGTCCAGCTGCCCGTTGCTGCCAGTTGCTTTGGAGGAGGAGGAGGAGGAGGAGGAGGAGGAGGAGGAGGAGGAGGGGGAGGAGGAGGAGGAGGAGTAGGAGGAGGGGGAGGAGGAGGAGGAGGAGGAGGAGGAGAAGGGCCCAGCGCCCTTGCCAGAAACATAGTGACCACGTCTCCGCGGCCATGCCGTCGTCCGCCGCCTCCGCCGCCCTCCCTCCTTCACTCCCCCTCCTCCCCTCCTCCCCTCCTCCTGTCCTTCCCTTCACTTCCTCCTCCTTCCACCTCCCTCGTCCGCCCTCCACCCTCCGTCCCCTCTTCTCTCCACCCCCTCCTCCTCCTCCTCCTCCTCCTCCTCCCTCCTCTTCCTCCTCCTTGTCCTCCCTCTTCCTCCTCCTCCTCCTCCTCCTCCTCCTCCTCCTCCTCCTCTCCTCCTCCCGCAACCTCCGGTTTTTCCTTCTGTTCCTCCTTCTTTCTCCCTCCTCCTCTGGTCCTCTTACTCCTCCTCCTCCTCCTGCTCCTCCTCCTCCTTCTTCTCCTCCTTCTTCTCCTCCTCCTCCTCCTCCTCCTTCTGCTCCTCCTCCCCCTCCCCCCCCCTTCTCCCACGCCAACCCCGCCCCACGATCGTCTCCCGGTTCGTCGCAGACTTGCCGGTCAGGACCTCGTCGGTGGTGTCGCTCGACGGACTCCTGAATGCACGAGATCGGCTCTCTGGTGAAGAGAACGCGACGACGGATCATGTGAACGTGGATGCCCCAATGCAAGGCATCCTCTCGTTCGTTTTCCTGCTTCTTCTGCTGCTGAAGTTTTTGTTTTACATGATTTGGCAACGCGGTCCCCGTCCTCGGCACCCTCAAAACCTCACGCTTGGCGCTGGCGCGGCAAAGGCGGGTCCACGCACAGACGCGCTGGATTTCTGCCACTCCGCGCGACTCTGAAAATCGGAACAAAAGGGGGCGGAGGAGGGGGAGGCAGTGAGGAGGGGGACAAGCGTAAAGCCATCGCTGGCCACTGATGCTGCAAAACCCTCTCCTGGCCCGAATCCACACTTCACGGTGGTTTTACTCAAGCGGGCGCTCGCTGGGAGTATGAAGATACGATGGGAACCATGATGTCTTCAAGGGTATATAGCCGACCAGGCTGATATCCGGCCGCGTAGCCTCATAGTGCGTAGTGGGCTTGGGACGGGATCGCGCGTCATTCCTGCTATCCGAGGCTCAAAGAAATATGTGCGCGGCACCGGCGCGAGAGCACGATGTCGACAAGGAGCCACAGCCGATCCCTGCAGCCGGTGGAAGTCTCAGACCCTGGGATCCCAACGTATGCTCTTGTCCTTCTTTGCTAGCTAAAGATATCTGTGCCTGGCCCGCGCAATGCCCACTGCTGTGGCGGGCCAGAGCAGGAGGAGGAGGAGGAGGAGGAAGAGGAGGAGGAGGATGAAGATGAGGAGGAGGAGGAGAAGGAGGAGGAGGAGGCGGAGGAGGAAGAGGAGGAGAAGGAGGAAGAGGAGGAGGAGGAGGAGGGGGGGGGAAGAGAAGGGGGAACAGGAGAGGGAGGAGGAGGAGGAGGAGGAGGAGGAAAAACATCTTTCTGGACGTTTCTGGCCCCTGTGGGGCCTTAGTACGCCTCTGGGGACACCCAAAGGCCGCGCAGAGGAGGGAAGGACGCGGAGGGAGGGGGAGGACTGGGAGGAGGAAGACTGCCAACATTGGTTTCGTTTGGACTCGGGAAGGGTAAGCCCTTATGCAGTGGGGGCCCGACCGCAGTAAACCTTCCACAAGAAACCCAACCCTGAGACCCCAGGGCGTCCATTGATTTTTTGGTGTGGGAACGTCACGCTTCCCATCGCAAAACCATCGAAACCCAAGAAACCCAGGGCACCCTGAAGGCAAACAGTACGCTTTCTTGGCATGGGCCTCCACCGTACTCCATCGGCGGACTGACCCAGAACCGACAAAACATCTGCTGCACTTCGCACTGCTGGGCGCCGAACTGGCGCCTGCGCGAGCAACGCCTTGCGCATGGAAGCGTCGCATGGAGCGTCTTGCGCACGAGCTGCATGCAAGATGCCCTTGCTGGTGGCGTCCGGCGCGGCCGGTGATCCGAGCAGGATGAGCAGGGAGGCTGCGAAACAATGATAAGGCAGCTTCTGCACACGTCTGGGTTTCTGTTGCCCGCCGACCCTTCGGGAATCCGTGAAAGTTGGTACTGGGCTGCTGTCTTGTGTTCTCTGTGCAACATGTTGTTGTTGCTGTTGCTGTTGCTGTTGTTGTTGCTGCTGATGCTGCTGTTGCAGCTGTTGCTGTTGTTGCTGCTGCTGTTGGTGTTGTTGTCTCTTGTCTTGCCAGTCCTGCCTCCTTCGTACTGTCTACTGGAAGGATCAGCGGCGTCAACAAACAAACGCAACGAACATCAAAGGGGGTGCCCCCCCAGCCCCTGGCCGCTCTAGGTTGTCCAGAGATTCCCGTAAGGGCACCACCAGACGGCCAATATAGCACAAAAGGCCGCAAGAGGTCCCGAACAGGGCCTCAAGTGATGAAGACGACTGAAGATGGCCCCAAGATGCCTCCAATATTGCCATGAGGGCCCCTGGGCGCCAATCCGAGAAGAACAATCATTTCACATCCGTAATGCTTCCAGACGGCCCTCAGAGTGTCCGATCTTGCCTACGTAAGACGTCCCCAATGTGGCCCCAATCTGCCACCGATGTCGCCCACGATTGCCCTACATGTGCCCGAGATGGCCCCCAGAGGCTCCCAACATTGGGCTGCAAGGCTCTAAAACAGGCCCGACTTCCCCCAATATGCCCCGAAGGTGATCCAAGATGGCCAGATGGCCGAGTAAGATTTCGAATCTGTCAAAGCATTGCCACACTAGACAAGCGCGTTCCAATACTCGCACGGTAGGTACTCGCAAATGGCCTGGCTCCGCTGCAGGGGATTTACTATCCATTGCGTAGAGACAGCTATGTGTGCTTTCGGACGTCTGCGAATAGGCACTTTGCGAGTAGTGGACGCGCTCGGCGACACACCATCGCTTAGCTTGGGGAGCTTGCGGCAAAAGGTGCAACCATTCAGATCCGCCGCCCCGTGTGGTCATCCCAAAGGGTTCTTGGCGTGCGGCACTTCCAACACATGTCGGATCCGTTCCAGCGGCTCGCGATCCCTTCGCCCTTTGCCGCCAGCTCGCGCGGGTTCCTGGGCATTTCCGTCCAAGATTACTCGAAGACGGCCCCTGGCGACATCGAGAAGTTCTCCAAGATGGCCCGACTGAACTGGCCTCCAAGTTGGCTCAGTATGGTGTCGAGATAGCCCAGCAGGGCCCATTGTGGCCTCGAGACGGTCCAAGAGACCCCCAGGACGCCCGAAGAGACCTCCAACGCAGGGTTCCGAGAGGATGCTGCATTGAACATCTTGTGGCTTTCAATCATTTTCGGATTTATCTAGCCGGTCTGAGGAACATCATCCGACGCGGTCCAAGAGGTCCCTCTCTGCCGGCCCAAGACGGCCCAGAATGGCCCCGGAAGGGCCCCGAGACGGTGGGGGTCCAGCGGTGACTCGCGGTGGGCGTATCCGATGAAACAATTACAATTCGCCCGCGCGCAAAGAATATGTGCACTGCCCAGTACATCAATCAGCACGAACTGCGTTAATGTGAACTCAAAAAAAATTAAAACATTATCCTGGCGAAGGACCCAACCATATGCAATTGTGAGTACCGCAATTGTAAATATCTTCTTCGGTGGCGCTCCCTATGGGGCCACGAAGCGTGTGAGGAGTGTGCCGAAATGGGTGTGCGGGACGCATGCGGGCACACCCACTGGGACCTTCGGTGGAGCTCCCTCCCCTATGGGGGCACGAAACGTGTGATGGGTGTGCCGACATGGGTGTGCGGGACGCGGTGGAGCCCCCTTACGGGGCCACGAGACGTGCGAGGGGTGTGCCGAATTGGGTGTGCGGGACGCATGCGGGCACACCCACTGAGGCCTTCGGTGGAGCTCCCTATGGGACCACGAAACGTGTGAGGGGTCACGAAACGCGTGATGGGTGTGCCGAAATGGGTGTGCGGGACGCATGCGGGCACACCTACTGGGGCCTTCGGTGGAGCTCCCTATGGGACCACGAAACGTGTGAGGGGTGTGAGGGGTGTGCCGAAATGGGTGTGCGGGACGCATGCGGGCACACCCACTGGGGCCTTCAGTGGAGCTCCCTATGGAGCCACGGAACGTGTGAGGGGTGTGCCGAAATGGGTGTGCGGGACGCATGCGGGCACACCCACTGGGACCTTCGGCGGAGCTCCCTATGGGGCCACGAAACGCGTGAGGGGTGTGCCGAAGTGGGTGTGCGTGACGCATGCGGGCGGCAGCACTGGGGCCTTCGGCGGAGCTCCCTATGGGGCCACGAAATGTGTGAGGGGTGTGCCGAAATGAACGTGCTGGAGGCATGCGGGCACATCCACCGGGACCTTCGGTGGAGCTCCCTTTGGGGCCACGACACGTGTGAGGGGTGTGCCGAATTGGGTGTGCGTGAGGCATGCGGGCGGCAGCACTGGGGCCTTCGGCGGAGCTCCCTATGGGGCCACGAAACGTGTGAGGGGTTGTGCCGAAATGGGTGTGCGGGACGCATGCGGGCGGGCAGCACTGGGGCCTTCGGCGGAGCTCCCTATGGGGCACGAAGCGTGTGAGGTGTGTGTTGTGGCCCTGTGGCGGCAACACGGGGCCTTCTGCGGAGCCCCTATGGGGCCACGAAACGTGTGAGGGGTGTGCCGAAATGGGTGTGCGGGACGCATGCGGACGGCAGCACTGGGGCCTTCGGTGGAGCTCCCTATGGGGCCACGAAACGTGTGAGGGGTGTGCCGAAATGGGTGTGCGGGACGCATGCGGGCGGCAGCACTGGGGCCTTCGGTGGAGCTCCCTATGGGGCCACGAAACGTGTGAGGGGTGTGCCGAAATGGGTGTGCGGGACGCATGCGGACGGCCAGAACTGGGGACTTCGGCGGAGCTCCTTGGGGCACGCCGCGGTGGGGTGTGTGCCGGAGAATTGGGTGGCGTGACGCATGCGGGCGGCAGCACTGGGGCCTTCGGCGGAGCTCCCTATGGGGCCACGACACGTGTCTGGGGCCTTCGGCGGAGCTCCCTATGGGGCCACGACACGTGTGAGGGGTGTGCCGAATTGGGTGTGCGTGACGCATGCGGGCGGCAGCACTGGGGCCTTCGGCGGAGCTCCCCATGGAGCTACGAAACGTTGTACTGGGTGGGTGAAACGCAGGGAAGAGGGGGAGGAGGAGGGAGGAGGAGAGGAGGAGGGGGCAGAGGAGGAGAGGAGGTCGCGGGGACGGTTTCTTCAAAACGAGGACCCAACACCACAGGATGGTTGGGGAAAAAAACCCAGGGGCCAATCATGATACATATTCGACCAGCCCAAGATCGCCGGAGCCATATCTCTCGACATCTCGCGGACCAAAGCAGGGAGCAAAGGCTGAAGCGCCGCAGCTGCGCATCCGCCGCAGCCGCGGGGAAAGAACGCTACATCTTTGGCCGCCACGAGCGCTGTTCCCCTGGCCATCGCTCGGACGTCCATTCCCTGTGTATTTTTCGATTTCGTGCGTGTTTCTTTTCGCCAAATGATCAAGGATGCTCCTCAATGGGTGCGCCGAGAAAAAATGCACATGTCCGAGCGATGCCAAGGCCACCATGGGGAGGGGCGGGGGGGAGCTTTTGCTTAGCTTGCCGCGGCGGCGGCCCCAGCGACATGCTATGCCCTGCGAGCGGGTCGCTCCGCCCCGCGGGGCGGGAAGCCGAGAAACGCTCGGGACGTGGACGCTCGGGGACCAGAACGTTGGTAGCATGTCGCGCCAAAGCGTGGTGGGCCAGCGAGGACGCTCGGGGGCCGGAACGTTGGTAGCATGTCGCGCCAAAGCGTGGTGGGCCAGGACCGAACACTTGACGAACTTCTCTGCACTCGAGCCATTACTGGACACCAAGCCAAGTGCACTGCAAATGACGAGCGACGGGCCTCTCAGCGCACTTGATGGTTCGAAACAGAGGCCCCACGGCGGCGCAAAGGGCTCGCCGTGGGGATCGTGAGGGGTGGATCTTGCTGTCGGGGCGGCGCGCCTCGAACCAGCCCCTCGGCTGCAGGCAGGCACGAAGCCGCACGGCGACGGTTTCGCACTTCAGCCGAGCTGGCTTGAGCCAAAATGGCTACGGAGCCTCCTCCTCCTCCTCCTCCTCCTCCTCCTTCCGCCCTCCTCCCTCCTCCCTCCTCCCTCTTCCCTCCTCCCTCCTCCCTCCTCCTCCCTCCTCCCTCCTCCCTCCCCGCCCCCTCCTCTCCCTCCCCGCCTCCCTCCTCCCTCCGGGGAACCCTCCCGGGGCGGGCAGCGGCGGCTCCTGGCCCCGGGCGGGCCAGAGCCCCCGCCGGGCTGCAGGCTGCCCGGCTCCGGCGGGTCGAAGCTGCCGCCAGGCTGCAGCTGCCGCAGCCGCGCACTGGGGGGGGAAGGATCGGGGGGTGGGAGGGAAAGATGATGATGATGATGATGATGATGATGATGATGATGATGATGATGATGATGATGATGATGATGATGATGATGATGATGATGATGCTGATGCTGATGCGGATGCGGAGCGGATGCGGATGCGGATGCGGATGGTAATGATGATCATGCTGATGCTGATGCTGATGCTGACTATGATGATGCTGATGATGCTGCTGATGATGACGATGATGATGATGACGATGACGATGATGATGATGATGATGATGATGATGATGATGATGATGATGATGATGATGATGATGAATGCTGTGCTGATGATGATGATGATGATGATCATTATCATCGTCATCATCGTCATCATCGTCACCATCATCATCATCATCATCATCATCATCATCATCATCATCATCATCATCATCATCATCATCATCATCATCACAGCGAGACCCCCCGGTTCATGAAAGAGTATAGCAGCGGAAGGCTTTTTTATATTTTCGGACTCTGGGAGCCCTCGCTGGGCCTCGGGGCCGTCAAGAAACGGCTCGGGACGAAACGACGGTCCCAGGGAATGGGTCGAGATCTCAGGGGGTCGACGTTATGAACAAATCATGACTTCGGGGATCTGGGGGGTCAGGGGAGCCAAGGAGGGGGAGGGGGGACAGGGCGAGGGTTAAGGGAGGGGCCATCCCTTCCCACTGCACTGGCTTCTTCTTTGCCCGCCGACGGGTCCCATAGCAGGCCTGGAACGCCAAAGAAGTCGCCGTCGCGACCATGCACAATCGGAAAAGGGCAGCTACGTACACAGGAGGAGGCGGTGGCGGATGAGCAGGAGGATGAACAGGAGGAGACGGAGGATGAGGAAGGGCGGCAGGGAGGGGGGGGGTATAGCATTATGTGTTGAGCAACTGTATGATTCGAGAAACTGTATGCTTTGTGCGACCAGCGATGCAACGACACTGCCCCAATTTTTTCCGACGGTGTCGCCCCCCTCCCGTACGCCTGGAGCTCGGCCGATTTGAACGACCTGCTCCTCAGCTTTGGCTCCGCTCCGCAAGAAACGTGGAAGTGCCTGGCCACAGCTAGAGCCATCGAGGCTACGGACGCGCGAGGGGATGGGATCGGATCGGAGTGAAAGCTCGTGGTCAGTCTATACACGAGCACATTCATGTACCGCGCTGTGCGCAACCCTCGTGCAAAAGGGAAAGGGGCAACACTCGAGGCTACGGACGCGTGAGGGGGGCAGGAGAGGCGGAGCAGGAGGAGGAGGAGGAATCCCGAGCTCCGGGCGTCGCATTTTTTTCGCACCGGGCGTGCTTCGCCCAGCGCCAGGCCCCGCAAGGCCCTTGCGGATCGGTCCCGCGCGAGAGATGCTGCAGGAAGGCTGGGCCTAGGGCCCCAGTCGTGATTTTGTTTGTGTTGTACTTTTTGCGCCACGTGGGATCTCAGATGAGTAGGGATGAGGAGGGGTGGAGGAGGACGACGAGGCGCTGAAGGAGGAGTGAGAGGATTACACTCGCACAGAGAACATGCAACTGGAGAGGGAGGAGGATGAGGATGGTGACGAGGATGAGGATGAGGATGGGTATGATGATGAGGATGATGATGAGGAGGAGTAGGAATGGGGGATGGAAAGCGGGAGGGGGGATGGGAGGAGGGAAGCCCTTCCAAATCCCAACAACACTTTGGGCGGACGTGGTTTAACGCACTTCCTCTTGCCAGCCGGGAACCAAATGCCCCCCCCCCCCCCCCCCTATGAACCCAGATAAAACACAATACAAAAGACGTGATTAGCACTCCGCAGTTGCGGATGCGGATCAGAAAAAAGGGGCGGCGGAGACGTCGGCGGTCTGCGAGGCTCTGAAGCCCGTCGCAGGTGTTTTTTTTTATTTTATTTTTTGTATAAAAAAATAGTGCAACGAGCCCGCCGCAGGCGCCAATGTTTCGTTAAAGAAATGTGGGCGAGTCGCGGGCAGGTCGCGGGTGGGTCGAGGGGGGGCGGCGGGAACGTCGGCAGTCTGCGAGAATCTGAGGAGGCCCGCCGCAGGCGCGTAATTGTAACAAATTATACAACGAGCCCGCCGCAAGCGCATCTTGTTTCGTTATTACAATGTGGGTGGGTCGCGGGTGGGTCGCGGGTGGGTCGCAGGCGAGTCGCGGGGTGGGTCGAGGGTGTGTCGCGGCTGGGTCGCGGGCCGGGTCGGTGGTGGGTCGCGGGTGGGTCGCGGGCCGGGCCGCGGGGGGGACGACGACGACATGAATAATAACAACAACAACAACAATAACAGCAACAACGCAACGCAACAACAGCAAAAACAACATCAATAACAACATAAACAACACCAACAACAACACCAGCAACAGCAACAGCAACAACGACAACGTCAACGACAACAGCAACAACAATACCAGCAACAACAATGATTTTAAGACTGTGCGCTCTTATCTGCTCGAGTGTCACTCAACGTGTATTTCCCACCACCCCGATACCCTCCCTCTCCCTCTTCGATCGTATCCCCTTTTAGTGGGTATTTCTTTCTTCCCTGCATGCTGGGCCCTGGCAAACGGCGGGGCGGCCGCGGACCGTCGGGCCCGGCCAGCGGCAACTCTGACCGGCGGCAACCCGACCCCGAGAGGGACAGACAGGGGACCGATCCCGACGACGACGACGACGACGACGACCACGACGACGAGCGAAAGCAAGAGCGAGAGCGAGTGCGACAGCGGGGCCACGACTCGTTTCTGACGGCCCCAGGGGCTTCGTAAAAGGGGGCGAACGCGGCGGAAACCAGCTGCCCGCCGTGACTTCTTCACGGCGCCAAGGGTCTTCGGCACGGTCGAAGTAGCCGCGTCCATTCTGAAGCCTTGCCCACCTGCGGCACTCACACACCCGTGGTGCTGGGCATGCTGTGTGACCCCTCTCGGGAGCTCTCAGGAGCCCACCGGGGCTGATGTGACCCCGTGCCAGCCCCGTGACCCTACGGGGCTATGTGACCCCGGGCTGGCCACGACCGCCGCCCCAGCACAGAGAGCCCTCGCGGCGCGAACACAACGGACGGCGGCATGGGTACAGAAGGGGCGGGGACGAAGGCCGACAGCAACAACTGCCCACTTCGAGCAGGGCTCGCCGTCGGTGTGGGTGCGGACGTTGCCCACTTGAGACAGAAGCTTGCCTGCCCGACGAGGGCCGCCGTCGGTTTTGGACAACCGCCGCTGTTGTGCATAGTGCATGTGTTTTTCAGTGCCCATGTCTGAAGGGAAAATTATCCTGGCGAAAGACCCAACCATAAGCAATTGTTGGTAACGCGTTGTGGGTGCCGCTTTCGGTGGGGCTCCATATGGGGCCACGAAGCGCTGCCTTGGGTGGGGGAACCGCATGCGGACTGCGCAACCGGGGCGGGCCTTCGGTGGAGCTCCCTATGGGGCTACGAAACGCTGCCCTGGGTGGGGGAACCGCATGCGAACTGCGCCACTGGGGCCTTCGGTGGAGCTCCCTATGGTGCCACGAAACGCTGCCCTGGGTGGGGGAAGCGCATGCGAACACCCCCACTGGGGCCTTCGGTGGAGCTCCCTATGGAGCCACGAAGCGCTGTAATGGGTGGGGGAACCGCATACGAGAGCAGCCACTGGGGCCTCCGGTGGAGCTCCCTATGGGGCCACGAAACGCTGCCCTGGGTGGGGGAACCGCATGCGAGAGCAGCCACTGGGGCC